ACGTACCCTCCCCAGTGTCTATCACCCAGTCACCCCATCCCTCCCACCCCACCCCCCACTCCAACAACACTCAGTTTGTTTCTTGCAATTAAGAATTCCTCATATCAATGAGATCATATGATACATGTCTTTCTCTGCAAACAGTCATGATTTTTAAAGTCATTTTCACCAAATCTGGCAGGGAACTATATAATAGATATTATAATCATCTGTCTAAAAAAGAGAAAAGTTTGAAAGTAAAGTTCTGATATATTAAAGGAAGCACTACAATTACCAGTGAATTATTTTTGTTCCCAATGACAATAAGGCAATATAGTAAGAGAAGAGCTAGGCCACGGGTTTCATGGGTCTTGTGCATATAATGTGCCCCTAACGGGAATTATCACTGTCCCAAATGGCGGAAAACAATTATCAAGCTCCTTTTAAAGCAAAACACATAGTATTGTTATCACCATGCTCCCATTTTATCAGAAAGAAGATGCATTCGATCACACAAATCAGTCGTTACCTTTTTCTAGACCATGCTCATGGTAAAATCAAAACTTAAAAAACTTCAGTTTCTGCATAGAAATTGGAAGGTAAAAGAAAACAACACTTCGTAAGGCTCTCTAGTGTTGGCATATCAAAAGGATTTACTTAAAAGTAATCCAAAACAGGTGGGTGGAGGAATAGCTGGGGATATCTATGAAACAAGATTGGCCACGAAATGATTGTTGAAACTGAATGACAGGCACAAAGGAGTCAATATACTATCGTCTCTATGAACAGGCTTCAAATATTCCACAAAGAAATTTTTTTTCAAAAGTCAATTTGTTTAAACACACACACACACACAACTCCGGAAGCACCTGGCTTGGCTCAATTGGTGGAGCATGCATGCAACTCTTGATCTTGGGGTCATGAGTTCAAGCCCCACATTGGGCATAGAGATTACTTAAAAAAAAAAAAAAAGTCCTCTGAATAAATAGAAGAAAACAGGCAATTTTGAATATCTACATTTCTGAATTTAATCTCAATGGTTTTTCAAACAGGAAATATGTGATTCATAAAGCATATCTTTAAAAATCAGTAACCTATAATTATAGTAAAAATAAAAACACTGTTAGAGAATTCAACAAATCCCTAAAAGGCCAGGATAAAGCAGATCCTGATAACTAATTTTCCTCGGCTCAATGTACAACATATATATTTATATTAACAGTATAATTCTTTTCTCAAGGGACTGGACATTATTTTTTAATCTGCACTACCATGTCAAGGAGGGGACATATCTAATTTTCAGATTAAAAAAGTATATGTAGCTTTTGGCTTTTGGTTTGGCAGAAGTAAATGTGCAACTCTCTGCAGTCATCCAGAATCCGGGTCCAGCCCCCCATGCCACCTAAGTTTGATCCCAATGAGATACACCTGAGGTGCCCCCGTGGCAAAGTCGGTGCCACGTCTGTCCTGGCCCCCAAGATCGGCCCCCTGAGTTTGTCTCCAAAGAAGTTGGTGATAACATTGCTAGTTATCAACTAGTAATTAGAAGGGTCTAAGGATGACAATGAAACGGACAGTTCAGAACAGACAGGCCCAGACTGAAATGGTACCTTGTGTCTCTGCCCTGATTATCAAAGCCCTCAAGGAACTACCGAGAGACAGAAAGAAGTAGAAAAACAGTAGCACAGCGGAAATATCACTTTTGATGAGACTGTCAACACTGCCCAACTGATGCGGCACCACTCCTTAGCCAGAGAACTCTCTGGAACCATTAAAGAGGTCTGGAAACTGCCCAATCTGTGGGCTGCAATGTTGATGGTCAGCACCCTCATGACATCCATAGATGACATCAACAGTGTGCAGTGGAATGTCCCACTAGTTAAGAACTACAAAGGAAAATATTTCAATAAAGGATTATTTGACCAAAAAATACATACACATATGTATACGTACATACATACATAGGTATAGAACTAAGTTGCCTAACTACTGAAGGAGATACAAAGCTAACCAAAATTTCAGATTTTTTATCCCTTGGTCTTAACACTAGAATACACTGCCTCTCTCTGATTTTTGATAAATATCATAGACAGCCATGCACACATCAAATTGGTTACATGACAAACTCCATCAAGAACAAAAGAGATTCGATATCTGCTTCCAAACAATCTTTCCTCCATTAATGCCCAATTAAGGAGTAAGTGGAAAAAGAGGCAGAATGATGGCACTAATCATGTACTGTCCTCACTAGATGGTAAAATGATGTAACTTGAATGAAAACAGTCAATGAAAGAGAGGGGAGAGAAGTCCAAGACCCAGCACTGTACACAGAGTAAATGTTTCCTGAATGACTGAATTTAAAACTCCAACTTTCTCCTTAAGTAGCACAGTGAAGGGTGCTAGAGCAACTCTACTTCCCCCGCCTGTCCCCATGCTTGCTAAGTTTCACCAGTAAGTACAAGAAGATGAGGCAGGGAGAAGGGGAAAGGTCATGGCCACAGGGGTGGGCAGAAATGGGGGAAGGGGGTGATTCACTGATAAAGACCACACTAAACAATGTTAAGCCGATATCTGGTAAACCAAAGTATTAGGGAAAAAATTTCAAAATGTTTGTGAGAGACTAAGAGCCATGAATAAAAAGAGAAAAATACCATGCTCTTTGACAAACTCCCAACACTTTAAAGATGTCAATTCTTCTTAATCTATAAATTGAATGCAATTTCAAATAAAATCCCCAACAGAATTTTTCGTGGAACTGAAACTGATGTGACAGAACTAGACAAATCTAAAATTTACATGGGCGGGTAGCAGGTCTAAGAAAAGCCAACTCCATTCACACTGATAATCTTTCCCTTTATGAGTTGTGCTTTGTGCATCTTGACCTGCAAATACTTCCCTACCCTCGTGTCATTAAGACATTCTCCTCCCAATTTCACCATATTAAAATCTAAAATTTCTATCCATACAAAGATAAATCACACACCAGGAGAGTACATGAAAGTAACAGTATTAGCAAACAATTTATATAGATCTTCCACAATCAGCCCAAAAGAAAAACGGACAAAGAATTAAGCAAGTCACAAAAAGAGAAATCCAGAAGTTAATAATGCAGATTAAAACAATATAGATTTAGGGGCATCTGGCTGGCTCAGTCTGTACAGCATGCGACTCTTGATCTTGGCACTGTGAGTTCGAGCCCCATGTTGGGCATAGAGTTTATGTTTAAAAAAAAAAATCAGTAAAACAATACAGAGTATGTTTAAGGACACAGTTTCTCTTAAAAAGTACTGGTGAAATTGCAAATTGGAGCAATCATCTTGGAGAATGATACGACAATACCTAACAAACACATACACCTAACTATTCTAAGGAACTGTTAGAGAAATTCTTGTATGGGTATATTTATCTCTTGGTAAAAGAGTATTTCATGCAGCACTATTTACAATGCAGGAAAATAAGAAGTATTTTAAATGTTTACAAGGGATGGATAAATTCAGTAAGTTGTTCAGGGAAACATGCAATGTAACTACAATAGGTAGATGACAGATAGATGATAGCTAGATAGATGATAGGGAAGGTCACAACAAAATCATGACACAAAGCAATGGAAG